TAAACCTTGGAGAACTCAATAGACTGAGGAAGTTCAGAAAAATTTGATTCAGAAATCTCGTTAAAAAGCGAATGCTAAGGCATAACTGGTTCAGAAAGTATGTCTTGATGACAAGTATTATGTGTTTTAATACCAAAATCTTCTAAAGAATCTATATAAACTATTGCTTATGTTGAAAAAACTCAATCACTCATTAGGTTATTTTGTAGAAGATCTTTAAAGCAATGCATTTATTGAGCCAACCTTAGTAAGCCCCGTAGAACCTGTTTTAGCAAGAATAAAGAGGCACATTTTGCTGTGTTTTATGCTTTAAGCCTTTATGTGCGATAAGTGTCATGCTTTAAAGAATGAATAGTCTAGCTGTGTCATATATCATAACTAACTTCTAAATATAATCAGGACATTTCACATTTATGCGGTACATTTGACGATAGAAATAGCTCACAAGACGTTGCCATTCAGAGCAAATTTTGAAGGGACGAAGTTACGAAATTGTATTTTTGTATCATAGAAATATCAGAATTTAGAGAAAAAATATGTACATTTATTACGCCATTACTACAAGTCCATAATTGGATCACAATTCTGTTTTAGAATTAACAGACAATTTTAAAGGCAGAACTAAAATTTAACGTTAATATTGTCGCCTGAATACAGAAAACTATTAATTTTTAACACTATATTCAAGAATAAAACTGAAAAATTCGGCACTTTATACCAGTGACAACGATATACATACTATGACACATAAATAAATATATAAATACTAATTAGCTCGGCTAGAATTAATATTCCAGATCTATCTGTATGCAAAATATTTTTATATGGATTTGTATCTACTGCTTATGGAGGAACAATAAATTTTTCTGCGACCTTGGGTGGTGAATCATATACTATCCCAAAATATATTACACTTCCGTCATGGGGCAATAGAATACATAATATATATGAAATATATCGTGGCATGTGAAAGACGAATAAAAAAGTGATTAATTTAAAGTCATTCTGAAAATATGCTCACTTGTTATTGTTGTTATTATCGTGGCAGAAAATGGAGGATTTAGTAAAAATTCGTCCCTTGTTGCTTCTCATTCCAGTTGGATCAATGTCTGTATGTTGCGTTCGGGAATACTCTGAATCCCGTCTATCCCAGGGTATTACTTGGATAGGTCCTAGGCTAGAGACATATCGATTCATGAAGAAAGATGCCAAAGTTAGCTGATCTTTTTGCAGCCAAGAGAGATTATCGTAAGCAATGCCGATTGAAGTTGACAGTTTGCTTGGAAGGTCCGATGAATTCGTTATACGCTTGCTGAATGTTCCTCGGAGTCTCTTCGAGTAAAGATCAGCAAAGTCAATGTAGAGTCCTTTTTCTTTACCTCGACACGCAGACAGCAGCTTAAGTACACTTGATTCTGAATCGAATATCGCGTAGCAATATCCTAATGAAAGCAAAATACAGGTTATCAAAAAGTATTTTTCCAAAGTAATACGATAAGCTGCTTACTTTAATGACATCCAACCTGAAATATGATTATAAAATGTTGAAGTTTTTGACCAAGCTCGAATCTCTACTGCGAAAATAATGTAAAACTTTACGGGTAGCAAGGTAACCTTTGAGTTGTCATTCAAGCTACTAAGAAAGATGTTCCAGAAAAAGTATACTGACTTTGAATAAAGCGCATCTTTCCCATGTTTCCCTAAAGATAAATTGCACTTTAGCAATACTGATAGTGAGAAATCGAAACTCATTTACTATATAATTTCCATAATTACTAAATTTTTAGCCTCTAGCAGAAAATAAGTTTGTTGAGCTTACTTCCATTTCGAGTGAAAGTGTTTAGTGAAACATTTCAAGGTCGATTCCACCAGAAAACGACGGCGGATTCCTCTTAAACAGCTGACGCTGATTGCGATTTGCGAGAAAAACATAAAATCAACCAAGGCGCACTCGCCTGTAGACTTAGTACTTGGGTTCTATCTTCATTACAATGGTTATAAATGGATTTATATCAACCCTTTCTAGGATAAAATATGTCATATAAAATACAAATAGATACTAATGCATGAAAATTATCTGCAAATTTGGCTGAAAAATCAAATACTAGTTGAAAATCTATTGTATTTCCGTATATGAAAATAGGATTAGCGATTTTAATTAAATCAGGCAGGCCCCAAAGTGTAGATACATCAGAAATAAACTTCATATCCTATACAAACTTATATCCCTTTTAAATAATAGGCGAGTGAGATAAATTTAATGATACTGATAACTTAAGAGTGTAGTAAAAAATTTAAGGTTTAAAAACATTTTTTCTATAATGCAAAAATGGTAAAAATTGATATTAATTATTACTACTAATATTGGTAGTAGTAGTAATAGTAATATAAAAATTAATTGTATTATAAGCAATGGTAGATTATTAAAAGCAAATTTATGGATATTGTTGAGAGGAAGAACGTGCCTGAGTGCCTAATATAGACTATTGTTAGTAGAAAGACAACGGCTATATTACAAAGCCAGAATTCCGTTCACCGCTGGATTGATGCTAGTTTACATTACATTTCGTATGAAAAGTTGGCCTCAATGAAAACCAAAGGAGGATTACCAAGAAAGGTTGTATGTTTTGGTCAAATTTTCCCAAATGATCGTTTTTGGGTTGTGAAGATATCTGTGCATGATAGAAGAGACCTCAACACATTACAATAATCAGAGGTCTAGGGAAATTTTTCTTCGAGTTCCGTTGAGGACAATTCCCGGTCGAAATACATGAAGACCCAATTCCTATTTATTTCACTGCCGGATTATGCAAAGTTTTTACTTGGCTGAATTTCAGGGACTTTCATTTCGTATGAAACTGCATGAAGAAGAGATTCATAGGTCGATCTCATCAGAAGAGGACTGGTTGCTCTGTGGCCGTTTGGCTTTAATACGGTGTTGAGGCTAACGCAGTCCACGAGACCTCTTCACGCATTTCGAATGAAAAGAGATTGAGCTTTCGAAGAACATCATCAGAGCTGAGACTCATTCTTGTACAATCTTTAAGTTAATACTTGAAAAGAAGACTATCCGGCTCTGTCTTACCTCGTATAAAAGATTAAATTAGACAAAATAAAATTATAAAACTAGATAGATTTGGAGTTATTTGACTAAATATCTCTCATACTTTTGCTCGAGTGTGTGCTTCTGTGTTTCTAAGTGTGTGTGTGTGTGTATGTGTGTTAGCGTCTATACGCAATACTGGTCCTGAGTCAGAGGTATCGACAATGTTAGCTCAGGAGATTCATCAAAACATATTTTCTCCTCGTATCTACCATGTTCCTCTTCTCGCTACAGTATAACCAAGAAAAATATATATCCCGGCAAGTTAATAGAATTAGATTTTTTTAAATGTTTATTTCTCATATTGTTGTTCCTTTGTGCTGTTTACTCGGTAGACGTTTTAATCTACCGACGTCCACCAATCAGGTATCGTGTGGCTTGGTTGAAACAAGGTTCAAGAAAAGCATAAACAGACTACACGAGTCAAAACTAGGCTTAGATAATCTATTTCTGAAATAATAAAGGATGCGGATTTCATTAAGCTACATTATTAAGATTAATATCTTTTTACTGACGAATACATTTTCAGACGGAGATCATTTAGTCAAAGATCCCATGTCCTAATTTTGCCGTCATGCATTCTCTCAAAGAAGATAGGCGAATTAGTAACAAAGTGGGGATAAAGAAACCCTGACACATTCTTCTGTTGTACCATCTTTTAAGAGATCTGGCTGCTACAAGATTGTTTGCTCATATGGTCGCTGTTGTGTTGGTGAGACAAAGATTGAGGGAATACAAAAATGCTTGCAAATGAAGCTTGGTCCAACGCTCAAAAGTGGCCGAAAACATTGTAAAAACTGGACATGAGATAGAATTGTCTCAACTTATAGCTTCGCTGATTATATTTATATGCTGTTAAAATAAAAATAAGAGATGCTATTGAAATGAATGTCATAGAAAATACGTTAAATGTGAGGATCGGTGGTAGATTGAAAAAGATAGTCTGTTGAGCCGCCATCCCAAAGAAGACGACTCAAACTTTCCGCTCGGTGATGGTTCCAACTTCACTCACATTCATCCAACTTGTAAGAGCAAGCTCATCAACCAAACAAGATGTACCAGATTACGCAGGCCCTTCATGCCTATCGTTGATTTGTTAAACCGCAACGATCCTAGACGGAGAGGTTAGGACAAGTGGTTTCGTTACTTGACTTACAAGCTTACATTTCATTATATCTACCATTCTTGCTTACAGATTTTAAAAAACCTCATATTGGTTTTCTCTTGGGTCATTTAAGACTTGACGACTAAAGTCTAAAAGACATTCTTTTGATGGCTCTCATTTAGGTCCAGTATTGCATATAGACACTAGCACACACATACACATAATCACACACACACACTCGAGCAGGACCAGTATGAAAGATAATTAACCCAAACACTCTATATCCATCTTTTTAATTTATTTTATCTTGCCTAATTGCATCTATTTAAGAGGTAAGATAGAGCCGGATAGTAAAAGATGGGCAAACTGAGACCTCCTTTCATGTCTTAATTTTGTCGTCATGCCTTCTCTCATGAACCACAATGGACCCTACAAGGTGATTGGTCAGCTGATAGGTAAAAGGTACTAATTTGTTTGCAGATTTGGGATTTGTAAGATTTAGAATTAGGGCCTTTTATGGGATATTTGTGAAAGGTAGAACATGCTTCATTCAAAGAAAGAATGTCAGATTTATTCAATTTGTTATTCCGATGAATTTGTCGTCATTTCTGTGCCTTTGATAAAGCAATAAAACTCTGAGTAAACACTCGATAATGGGTGTCTTAGTTTTAATTTAAGAATTTTACAAGAATGACTCCCAGCTCCGATGATGTTCTTCGAATGATGCACGAAAGCTCAGTCCATTTTCATCCGAAACGAGCGAGGAGATCTCGTGGATTGCGTCAGCCTAACGGCCATGGTACAACGCGATTCATCCATACTCTTCAGGAGAGATTGACCTACGAATCTCTTCTTCATGCAATTTCATATCAGTTTCTCTTCGTATATTTTTTATTTGTCGAGCATATAGCATAGTTAGATAAAAATATGTTATAGTGAGACTTTTTGTCTTGACTAACAATTGAATTAGCCCTAAATATTGAGATATTTTTGTTATCAACAGAGACATGAAAAATTTGTTAGAGAACCTTTTAAATTGGAATAGACTGGTTGAATTTTTCTCATTAAAGTTTGCTATTTGAACCATAGATTGTGTTAATATTGGAGAGGACGTTAGAGTAATGTAATGGCATTTTTCGTCACAGCAATAAAATAGCAACACTTGATCAGGTATCGTGTGGTTTGGTTGAAACAAGGATCAAGAAAAGCATAAACAGACTACACGAGTCAAAGCTAGGCTTAGATAATCTATTTCTGAAATAATGAAGGATGCGGATTTCATTAAGTTACAATATTGAGATTAATATCTTTTTACTGACGAATACATTTTCAGACGGAGATCATTTAGTCAAAGATAGACAAACTAAGACCTCTTGCCATGTCCTAATTTTGCCGTCATGCATTCTCTCAAAGAAGATGGGCGAATTAGTAAGAAAGTGGTGATAAAGAAACCCTAACACATTCTTCTGTTGTACCATCTTTTAAGCAAAATATGGCCCATTTTCAAGATCCGGCTGCTACAAGATTGTTTGCTCATGTGGGCGATGTTGTGTTGGTGAGACAAAGATTGAAGGAACACAAAAATGCTTGTAAATGAAGCTGGGACCAACGGTCAGAAGTAACCGAAAACATTGTAAAAACTGGACATGAGATAGAATTGTCTCAAACTTGTAGCTTCGCTGATTATATTTTTATGCTGATGAAATAAAAATAAGAGAAGCTATTGAAATGAATGTTTTAGAAAATGCATTGAATGTGAGGATCGGTGGTAGAAAGGTGAGTAGGAACTACTTCTGCTTGATTGATAGATTGAAAAAATATTGAGGAATTTTTGTTATTAATAGAGACATGAAAACTTTGTTAAAAAACCTTTTAAAATGGAATAAGGTTGTTGAGTATACTGGTTGAATTTTTTCTCATTAAAGTTTTTACAATTTGAACCATAGATTGTGATAAGGTTGGAGAGGACGTTAGAGTAATGTAATGCCATCGAAACGTATGAAATATTTTTTGCTGAATATCAGGCTACAGAAAAGAAATTTCCTCTAAAGACTAATTTATTGCAAATATTCTTCTATGTCTTCATTGGGAGTTGGCATTTTTCGTCACAGCAATAAAATAGCAAATAAGTATTCCTGAATTATATACATTCTAAAGTTGATCTGATTTCAATTTGGTTCAGTGCACCGTAATCATTGCGTATAGCTGAGCCATGCAAGTGTGCAGTCGATTGTGGGATTAACAAAAAAATAAGTGCAAATATTCGTTCTGAAGATAATTTTATCACAATTTGTCCATTAAAGTTTTTTGAACCAGCAGTAGTGATGTTAAATGGCATAATACCCTAACGTAGAAATGACAAAAGTAAAATATTATATTTTAAATACAGTAACACTTGCCTCTTTTCGGTTTGCCCGACTGTTCTTCTTTCGTTATGGATAAAGCATCAAACGATCGACTTGCATGCTTGTCAGTGTTGGTCTGGCTGACAGACGACGACGGCCATAGCAACGTAACTGCTCCGATCGTCTCACGCAAGATGCATTCCAAGGGAGTTCTATGATAATCTATTTCTTGCTCGTTTTTGGCTATCGGCACACCACCGAGAAAGACCTTCCGTGAGAATTTCACCCTTTCACAATCCGAAAGGAAATCGCCGCCAAGGGTCAGAGACTCTAGTGCTCGCAGAACCACAAATGGCCCTACAAGGTGATTGGTCAGCTGATAGGTAAGAGGTACTAATTTGTTGTCCCGTTTGCAGATTTGCGATGGGTGTGATTTAGAATTGGGCGTTTTTATGGGATATCTGTTGAACGTAGAACATGCCTCATTCAACGGAAGAATGTCACGTTTATTCAATTTGTTATTCAAAGCGACTGCATCCGAGGGAAGGTCGAGTTCTTCCGATGAAGTTGGCGTCATTTCTGTGCCTTTGAGGAAGCAATAAAACTCTGAGTAAACACTCGATAGTGGGTGCAAAAAAGATATTATTATTTGGACAAAAGTATGGCTTTATTCATATAGAAAAGCTGATGAATTCCTACGTGTAAAAGCAATTTGTTTCACAACAAAATAATAAATTACTTTTCTAATGGAATAGCTTCGCTTGTTTTAGCTTATAAAGCTCACATTTATTTAGCATAAAAGAAACATGAGTTAGATTGTTCTGTGGACAAGCTATAAATCATTTCAACGAAGAGTCTGGTTGGGAGGGAAGGTGATGTCAAGTGAAACATACTCAAAACGCGAAAATACGCTTCATGATATTGTGGAAACTAGAGCTGGTATAAAAATCCACGATGGACAGATTCATGGAATAAACTCATGCAAGACAAAAGTTAACATCATTTGTTGTAGAGTTGTTTGATTAAACAACAAGCCTACATTTAACATGGTCCACAAGACAGCCCAGCATAACGTGTATAGATGGATATAGAAGTGTTGGGTAACCAAGGTACCGTTACGTTTATGTGTAAACGCGATATCATTGGGAAAAATCTATGTTGCTATAACAGAGCATAGCATGAGACGATTGAATGCCTGAAAAACAATTATTACCAATTGTGCCAGGCGGAAAAAGAAAGAAAAAAAGAAACTTTCAGAAAAAGAAAGTTTGGCTGAGTTGAAAATCTGAATTCCTTCT